CAAAGCGTTATATGACAGAGTGCTGGGAAGACGGGACACCACGAGCGTAGCTCTCATCCTGTAACTACACTTAGGTAATTACACTTAGGTAATTACACACACACACAGACGTTAATGACAAAGCGTTATATGACAAAGAGTGCTGGGAAGACGGGACACCACGAGCGTAGCTCTCATCCTGTAACTACACTTAGGTAATTACACTTAGGTAATTACAGACACACACACACAGACACACACACACACACACAGACACACACACACAGACACACACACACACACACACACACACACACACAGACCACACACACACACACACACACCACACACACACCACACACCACACACACACACACACACACACACACACACACACACACAGACACACACACACAGACACACACACACACACACAGACACACACACACACACACAGACACAGACACACACACACACACACACACACACACAGACACACACACACAGACACACACACAGACACACACACACACTCAGACACACACACACAGACACACACACACACACACACAGACACACACACACACACACACACACACACAGACACACACACACACACACACACACACACAGACACACACACACACAGACACACACACACACTCAGACACACACACAGACACACACACACACACACACACACAGCACACACGACACACACACACAGACACACACACACACACACAGACACACACACACAGACACACACACACAGACACACACACACAGACACCACACACACAGACAACCACACCACACACACACACACACAACGACACACACACACACACACACAAGACACACACACAGACACACACCACACAGACACACCACACACAGACACACACACACACAGACACACCACACACAGACACACACATCACACCAAGACACACACACACACAGACACACAACACACACACACACAGACACCACCACACATCACACCAACACACACAAACACACACACACAGACACACCACACACACAGACACACACACACACACACACACACACACACAGACCACACACACACAGACAACACACACACACACACACACAGACACACACACACAGACACACACACACAGACACCACACACACACGACACACACACACAACACACCACACGACAGACACCACACACGACAGACACACACACAGACACACACACAGACACACAGACTATTTTTTATCAAATCGCCTCACTCTTTGGGGCACACTAGAGACCCTCTCTCACCCGGGCGTCAAAACTGAAGGCCAAAAGAATAATCAAAACTGGCAAAACGTGAGCGGGAAATGACAATGGGCAAAATGAGTGGGGAAGAAAAACGAAACATAAGGAAAAGGAAAAGTTATCTGACAGAATTCGAGAAGACAGCAGCAGGAGCACAAGGCTACTAATGGACAGAACCAACCAATGGAGCATCACACCAAAGCAGCCGCCCACCAAGCGCTTGAAGTCCCTGTAGACAACCAGCTTTTTGACTGCATTGTAATTTCAAATAAGCTGTAACACTACTGATGTCCGCCACGGCATCCCTCAACACGTCAAACAAGGTCGCATTCATGAGCTGGCAGTCCACAGTCCCGGAAAACTATTCCAAACGTCAAGGAATGCTGCACCGGAAAATAGACACCACAAATGCACGTTAATGGCGCTATGTTAAAAACCCCGCAAACACCATATAGGAGACTCCATATAGGGTAGGGAAAGGACGTGGTGAATCGGCGCTCCGGCTGTTGGTGGTGTTTACCAATTTGGCCGGTTGAGGGCGGGTGTGTGTCTGCCTACCTGTGCTGACGTGGAGTTAACGATGGGGGTCCCCCTCCCCCCTGTCCTGCGGGCTCAGTCTGTGGGCCTCGATTTTTCCGGCCGGGCTGGGTACCCAGAGATAGCGCTGGTGTGTGAGGTGCTTCATGTCCCTGTGGTCGACGTTTATGGTGTCGAGCTGGTGACGGCTCGTCGAGCGATATTGAAATTTACCGAGGAATTGGCATATCGCGAGTTTCTCCGTCGTTAAGAGGGGCGGACATTTCCCCTGCCGGATGGTGCGGGCACTGTCACTATCTGATCGGAGTGGTGCCCTCACGTACGTCAGTGTGCATGGGGCTCTGTTGGAGTTTCCAGAAAGTCTGCTACGGCGGTACTTCGGCCGGTATGGCGCAGTGATTAGTGTGCGGGTGAACGTGGTGTCTTCCAGTCCACTTAAGGGTGTGAGGACCAACATTCGCACCCTGGGCATGAGGCTCCGGGAAGATATTCCGTCCTCTGTGCGGCTTATGGGCTACAACGTTCGGGTATTTTATGCCCGCCAGCCTCGGACATGTTATCGTTGTGGCCTCTTGGGCCATCAGGCTGCTGACTGTTCTGCGCCTGCCGTTGCACCCGTGAACCTCTTCAGTGAGGTGGATTTTCCGCCGCTTCCTGTGGAGGAGGATTCAGTGGATGTGGCCGTCTCTTCAGCCCCGGATGTGCCCCCTGTGTCGCCTGTTGCGCCCCCTGTTGTTGTCGCCTCTCCTGAAGAGGTGGTGGCGTCGCAGGGTGACCGTCCTGCGTTGACTTGTGTCCCTGGGGTTCTTCAGCCTGCCTGCTGCTCGATTCCCCCGTCTTCCAGTTCGTCCTCTGCTGCGTCTGACCCTGTCCCTGCACCCTCGCCGTCTGTTCCGGCTGAGCTGGGTGTTGGGGTGGATCCGGCGCTTCCTCCTGTGCCTGGCCTGGTGCCCCATGTGGTTGAGGATGCTGCCGTTCTGCGACGTGCATCGGTTCGCCCTGCTTGTGTTGCGCGTGTCTCTGAGTCTGCCTCCGGATCGGATGATGTGCGGCCCGAGCCTAAGCGTTCTCGGCGTTCGTCTTCAGCATGGACAGATGTTGGCGACTTCGTCGCTTGTGAATCTGCCGGCGACGGAGGGGTGGCTCCGGTTATGTTGCGTACTACGGTGACGGCGGAGGTGCATTTGCCTGAGGATGCCCGTGCCAGTGTTTCGGCCTCCACTGCAGATATGGTGACTGAGGTTCCTGCTTCGGGTGCGTCGCCTGCATCGGATGGCTCCGGTTCTTCATGGGGGGTGGTTCCCCCTGCCGAGATTCGTGGTGAGCGGGGTGGCCTGGTGATGGTGTTGAAAAAGACTGCTCGTTCTGGGGGTTCTGTAAAACCTTCCTCGGTCCCCGTTACATCGGCTTCGGTCTCGATGCCTCTTCCGTCTCCGGCCGTCTCTTCAAGGTCTCCTGCGGTCTCGGTGGAGTTGCCATCTCGTCGATTGTCCCCTGCTCCTGTGTGTACGGCGACGCGGCCGTCTCGGCAGCCCTCGTACGCTTCAGCGGTGTCGTCTGCTACCTCGAAGGACGTGGGTTGCTCTCCCCAGCCTCGTTATGCGACTTGCGTCAGTGAGCTTAAGGAGTGGCCGTTTCCACCTGATCTGGTGGTTCCCGAGTTTATGAAGGGCCCGCGGCGGCAGGGGGATTGTCCCTTTACCGACAGGGAATATATGATTTGGGAGGCCTACAAGCGACGGTATCCCTGGGCTGCGGAGACGTATGGTCTTGTCTCTGAGGGATGTGTTCCTCACTCGTGATTCCTTTGTGTGTTGTGGGTTGTTTCCATTAGTGTACATGGGTGTGGGGTGCGGGTCAGGTGTGTGTGAGTGGGTGGGGCGGGTTTGTTTCCCGGTTCCTGCGTGCTCCGGTTTGTGGTTGTGGGTTTTTTTGTGTGGCTTGTGTGTATGTGTCCGGTTCCTGTGCGGTCCGGGGTTTGGTTTGTGTGTGTCTGGTTGTGGGTGTCATGTGCTTATGTTATGCTTTGTGGTTTTATGGTTGTATGATGCTCTTTGTGCGCTTGTTTGTGTGGTGTTGAGTGCCCTTCAGGCTGTTGGCGTGACCTGGTCTGGGTTTATGCTTTTTGTCGAGTTTTGCCGTTGAGCTTTTCCTTTTGTTTATTGTATAATTATGTTGTATTGTTAGTTATTTATTATTTACTTTTTTGTTTTTATGTTGGTGCCTCTCCGTGTGTGTGTGCGGTGCTGGTAGCCTTGTTCTGTATGTTTCAGGTTTTGGCGTGTTATTTCTGTTTTGTATTCTGCTGCGTTTCACTTAATTATTGTATTCTGTTTTTAATTAGTTATTTTGTGCTCGGCCCTTCCCGCCAGCGTTATTGTGTTTTGTACTTTTGTTCCTTAGTTTTGCCCGTTTGTGCTTTGTCTTTTTGTTCGGTTTTATGATGTAACCGTTTCCTTTTATTGTACTTATAAGCATGTTTGCATGTATATATAAAAAAAAAAAAAAAAAAAAAAAAAACTGGTTCAGCAAGTACGGGAGAGTTTAGCGGACGTCTACCCGCTCTGGTGGTCCAACCCTGATTCCCTCCACAGGATGTGATTGAATCTGGTCGTGAAGGCACTAGAGATCTGGACCCGTTATCAAAGCATTTACGAACTTTTACATCTTTTCTAACTCTTTGACGGCATTGTTTACAATTATTGAACAGTTATTGAGCTCCTAAGCACAAGGTGGCTGTTTATAACGGTTTATTGGCAAGTTCCATGCTTGTGAACTGTTTAGTAAATGTAATCAAAGCCGTCAAGGATGTACACGTTCGCAAGTACTTGCGTAACTGCTTTATGAATCCGGGTCCTGGGTTGTAACCAAGTCACTTTGTTACTCTTGCGAGGGTCAGAGGGAGTAACTAATCTGTAGGTCTTTCAGAACTTTACCATTCCAGTCTTTAAGAGGGTACATGAGATAAGAACTACAAATTTCTAAGAAGCCTGACCAGGTAATTCAATGTCAGATTTGAGAGTATCCTTATATATAAATTTTTATTTTTACCCGAGGGCCACTTAACATTTTAGTTCCTCGACGAGGACAGGAAGACGGCTGCTTGTTAAAAGAACCGCCCCCCAAATCCCCCCCCCCCCCCCCACTCAAGGAATTTACTAAATCTCACCAAGCGAAAAAGTGCGATTCAGACTTCAGTCGCCTGTGGGATAACATATATGAATAGTTTATAATTTGCCTACCGGTGTGCAGGCCTTTACCAACTCCACATTGTTGAGCAGAGTTGCTACGTTGAAGACGTGTGTGAAGGTATTGCAGCTTACATTCTCCTCCAGGTACTGCAAAGAAAAAAAGTTTTAATCGAACTTCATAAAAGTAATTATACATGGAAGTAAATTAAAATGTTTTTTGCATTCTTTATCAGTTGGCGAGAAGCAATTATGCCACTTCTGGCCAGATATAGCTTCTGTAAAAATTTTGTAGTGCAGTTACCACAATTTTTTTTTTATTATTTTTATATGCAAAGCATGCAATTTAAATACAATAAAAACAATACAGAATACATAACAAAATAAAACAATAGACCACCGGCCAGAAGGGCCGACAGCATAGCACAACAAAACACATACACGAGAAAACATAGAAAAATACAGCATACATCAAAGCACAAAACATAATACAATGGCAAACTAGCAATCACAGTAACATCACAAAACAAAACCACCAGAAAAACAAAACATACATCAAGAGGTATAACAGGAAACAGAACAGGACAAACAATACATTCCAAACAAAACAAAGAACAAACACGTACAACAGGTAAAGTAATATAAAAACACCAGGTCAAACGCACAGCACAAACAATACAGGAATAAAGAAACACACCAAGCCATCCGCCCCGTAAACAAAAGGCGAGGTCAAAATAAACAATAATAAACAAGCAAAACACGCACACCTGAAAACAAAACAGGCACAAACACAACAACATACATGCACTAGCCTGAAGGACCGAGAATAAAACAACAAAGTACATCAAGAAACAGAACAAGACACTTCAGCACAAAACAAATCAATACAAATTTATACAAAGACACTAAACACCGGCCTGAAGGGCCGACAACAAAAACAATGAAAAATACAACAAAACAACGGTCATGAGTAACATAACACCGGCCTGAAGGGTGCACAATAGGTACAACACATTGCAAACAAACCACAGGTCCAAGCACACAGCAAGCACACAGACTTAAAATTTCTCATACTTATCCAGCCACTCCGCCGCCGGGAATCTAATACAATACGCCTCCCAAAGTAACATGACGTCCTCCGTAACAGGTTCATTACGAACCGTACGAGGATCAGGCATTAACTCCGGCACACCCACAATATAACACCGTGCCCGTCGAATCCAGATGGAAGAAGGGCACCACGGAACAGGACGCACGCGGTCAACAATGTCAAAAAGCAAAGGATGCTCATCATCATGCGCCACACCGGAGGCCAAGACGATAGGGAGAGGCTCCTTCCCACGAGGCAGCGCACTGGGAGCCTCCTCGGCAGCCTCACAGGGCCCCGCGTCAACCACCGAACGTTGTACCTGCTGGGACCCCCCACGCTTGGCATCCTTCTTCAGCACCAGCTTGATGCCTCGGCTCGCACCAGAACCCACACCACCCACGGCTGTAGGAGCAACCACCTCCCACTGCGTAGAACCTTCCGCAGGAGAAAGAACAGGAGGTAAATCAGACGCACAACCATCGTCAACAGCAGACACATGGACATCAGCCACCACCAGCGACGTGGAGCGCGAAGCACCCGGAATCGCCACATCATCGCCCGAAGCTCCACCTGCGTCGTAGTCCTCCACATCAGCCCAAGCGGTAGAAGAACGCCTGGAACGCTTGGGCACTGGCCACATATCCTCACAGCCGGAGGTGAACCCAGAACCACGGGCCTCACGAACCGGGCGAATCAACGCCCGTCGCAGTACGGCAGCAGCCTCTACCACAGGGGGAACCGGACCACACAGCAGGAGGCTCTGCAGTCACCCCATCACCCAGCACAGACGGCGAGGGTGCAGGGACCAGGACAGACGGCGAGGGTGCAGGGACCAGGACAGACGCAGCAGAGGAAGAACCGGAAGACGAGGGGCCCGAGCAGACGGAAGAGGCTCAGGGACACCAGCCGGAACAGGCTGAGCACTAGGTGAGAACACAACCACCGGAGGAGAGGCGACAACAACAGGGGGCGCAACAGGCGGAGCAACAGCTGAAACAGAGGGCACCTCATCAGCCGAAGAGACGTCCACATCCACCGAATCATCCCCCACAGGAAGTGGTGGAAAATCCTCCTCACTGAAGAGATTCACTGGTGCAACGGCAGGCGCAGAACAGGCAAAAGCCTGATCAGGCAAAAGCCTGATGGCCCAAAAGACCACAACGATAACACGTCCGCGGCTGGCGGGCGTAAAACACCCGAACGTTGTACCCCATAAGCCGCACAGAGGACGGAATATCCGCCCAGAGTCTCATGCCCAGGGTGCGAATGTTAGACCTCACACCCTTAAGAGGACTAGAAGACACCACGTTCACCCTCACACTAACTACTGCGCCAAACCGGCCGAAATACCGCCGTAGCAGACCCTCTGGAAACTCCAAGGGAGGCCCATGCACACTGACTTAAGTGCACCACTTCTATCAGAGAGGGTTACAGTGCCGCACCATCCAGGAGGGGTAATGTCCGCCCCTCGTATCGCCGGAGAAAATTGCGATACGCCGCCACCTCTGAACTTCACAATCGCCCTATGGGCCGTTACCAACTCGACCCCATAAATCTCAAACACAGGGATAGAGAGCATCTCACAAGCCAGCGCAATCTCCGGGTTACCAGCCCGCACAGAGAACTCTAGTCCCAGAGACTGAGCCCGGACGACAGGGGGTAGAGGGACCCCCATCGTAACACCACGTCAGCACAGCGTGGGCAGAGACACACCCGCCCTCAACCGGCCGAACTGGCAAACACCACCAACTGCTGGAGCGCCAATGCAACACGTCTGACCCCTACCGAAGCTAGGGCCAGACTCCAGTTACCACAATTAGTGTAATTACCCAATCGGTCCAATCAATTGCTGTATTTGTAGTACTGGATGAAGCATTTACTGGGGTGATTCGAACAGATTAAAGCATCGAAGCACTGTTTGATAAATGGCCGATCTTTATAATTTGTGACCAGCGTCTTCAGCCCGTGCTCAAACAATGGCCAAAATCAATTCCAAACACCCGTCAAACTCTGTTTATAATTGTGAAACTGTTTACACGACTCAACCGAATACATCCGAACACTTCCGGAACAAGTGCTTCACCTCAGAATTTTGCTCGAACCACAACAGTAAATACTTCACCCGCGTACTACAAATACAAATAATCGCCAACTGAACATGTAAACACCTAACCAGTGCCTAAACATGTACAATATGGTAATATAAAACAATGAGAAAAACCGTTTTGAATGATCAGCATGTTAAGATCTATGAATGCGTCTTTGGGGTCGATCACTGGATCGAATGGACTGACTGAGAACTTTTTTTATTTTTATAAAAGAAATATACAAAGTATAGCACAATATACAAGACATGAACAGAAGAACAAGAACAGAACAACAAAACATAAGTAGAAACACTGGCATAAAAGAACATTGCAGTACAAGACCCTAGAAACTCCAGGGACATAAGACCGAATACAAAATTAAACATAATAATGGACATACAACAAACGGACGCATACGGACATGGAAAGACACAACAAACATACACAGAATACACCAGACACGCATACATATACAAAATTAGATTTTTATAAAAGAAATACACAATATATAAACCAGACAATAGAAAACAAATCATACATACATACAGGACAAACATAGCAAAGTGCGAAAACACGGATGCAAACAAAACATACAAGAACCAAGAAACAAAGTAAGTAATTATCAAAAGAAGGCACCAAACCGGGAAGGCTATGTAGCACCATCAAATACGCAAAATAATCAGAGGGCGCTAAATATCACCAAGGATGCCAATACGAGAACAAAAACGCATAAGGCGAACGATATCAAAAGTATCCGAGTCACCAAGAATTCTATCGAGGGACAGGTGACCGCGAGGGGCGGTCGGAAAGCAAGACACACGCTCGTCCTGGAAGTCAGGACATTCAAGAAGGACATGCACGACCGTAAGAGGGACAATGCAACTAGGACAATAAGGAGCAGGGCGGCGCTCCATCAAGTGACCATGGGTTAAGCGAGTATGGCCAATACGCAACCTCGCTAGAGCTGTTTCCCACCGCCGGTTACGGTGGAAGGAGGACGGCCACGAGGAAACACAACATTTAAGAGTACGTAGCTTGTTACCAGTAACAGACAACCAAGAAGCCTGCCAACGGGTAAGGACTGAGGAATGGATAACCGGGTAAAAGTCGGAATACGGAATGCCTTTACGAGAGATGGGACAAGAGCGGACAGCTTCCTTAGCGGCAGCATCCGCACGCTCATTTAAAGACACGCCAATATGGCTGGGAACCCAACAAAACTCAACCGACTTAAATTTACTGTGAACGAGAAACAGCCAATGCTGGATCTCGACAACTACCGGATGAACTGGATTAAAGCACCCGAGAGCCATGAGGGCACTACGAGAGTCAACAACAACCACAAAGGAAGACTGACAACGAGAAAGCAGGAGACGAAGAGCATAGAGAATAGCATAAAGTTCCGCTGTAAAGATGCTAGTCTCCGGAGGCAAGCGACACATATAAGTGCGATCAGGAAAAACAACAGAGTAGCCAACACCGTCCGCTGACTTAGACCCATCGGTGAAGACAGAAACGGAGCGGGAGTGAGAAGAAAAGTGCTCGAGGAAAAGGCGTTTTAGAACTGTAGGAGGGGTAAAAGCTTTAGTGATACGAGTCAAGGATGTACAAAACCGCGGAAGAGGGACCCTCCACGGGGGCAAAGAAGGAACAACACGAGGAGAAACATCAGAAATACGAACGGAAAGAGAATCCTGCAGGCGAGATAACCGGACAGAAAGAGGGAGGTGGTGAAGAGGAACAGGAACCGCAGGAGGGGTAAAAGTTAAAGCACGACAGAGACGAGAGGAAGGATGTTGCAAGGACCGCGCAAGATAGCGAAGACAGTAGCGATCACGGCGGTCCTGGAGAGACAGGAAGCCAGTGTCAACATACAAGCTAAGGACGGGAGTCGAACGAAAGGCACCAGAACTGAGGCGCAACCCAGTATGGTGCAAAGCATCAAGACGGCGAAGAGTAGAAGGAGAAGCAGA